CCACCCCGCCTCTCCACGCGAGCCTGAGATAAAAGATGGGGGCCTTGAGTCACCCCCGAGCCACGAGACTCCCCGTCCCCATCCTTACCCGAGGACAGGGTGCTGGGGTAGGTCATTCCAATTTCATGAGCTCCACGTCAAAAATTAGAGTGGCGTTAGGTGGGATGATCCCTGGGTGGCCAGTAGAGCCGTAGGCGTAATCTGGGGAGATGGTCATCTTTGCCCGTTGACCAACACTCATCTGGGGGCAGGGAAAGAAACACAGGGATGTGAGGAGACGGGCACCATCACCGGGTGAGGGACAGAGGGGGGACCAGACCCGTCCCCACGCCGCGGGGCTGGTGGCAGTGGGGAGCCAAAGCCACGCTGTGCCCCCAGCCCTCCCTCCCGTGGGCTTCACGGCCCGGGAGCCGTCCCCGCTCGGAGCAGGAGGCCCCAGCGCTCCCCGGCGCCTTGGTTCAGAGCTGACTCAGTGGAGAAATGTCACCGCTGAGTCACCGACGTGCCGTAGGTGTTGTTGGGGCCCGGCCCTGCTCCGTTCCTGCCATCTGGCAGGTGGCAATGCAGAAGGTGATATTCACACCCACACCTCCCAGCGCCGAGGGGGCGGAGGGGTGGAAAACACAGGGGAATAAAATAAAATAAAAAAAAAAAAATTAAAAAAAAAAGAGAACAAGCTGCACACAGTGATTTGTGCCCACGCTGCAGCTCCCCAGGCGCTCGGCTCTGCGCAGCCCTGCAAGGGGGACCGGGGGGCGGAGAAGCAGCGGGCACCTGAGCGACTCCTTCCTCCCAGCCGCGGATCACCTCCTGCTTGCCCATCACGAACTTGAACGGCTTGTTCCTGTCGCGAGAGGAATCAAACTTCTTCCCATCCTCCAGCATACCTGGGGAGAGAGGGAGGGAGACGATGGTGACACAAGGACGGAGCCACGCGCGCCTGCGTGAAACAGGCTGTGAGCTGGCAGCCCGTGCGGGTGACAGTCACCCCGGCAAGGCTCACGTGGCCCTGACTCAAAGGTGTTTCGCAGCTCAGCCTCCTTTTCCCAGGGGAAACACCTGTAACAGGGCGGCGTGGGGGGGGGAAAACCCCACAGCAGCACCCTCTGGGGCATCAGCCAGCCTGGCAGGAGCAGCCCTGGGGCAGGGCAGGATTGCTCCTGGCTGCTCTGACCAGGACAGAAGCGTTCCTCTGGGCTGGCACCGAAGACAGATGAGGGGAGCAGATGGAGGTGGGGATAAAAAAAACCCAACAAACCATTCCCCACCTCACAGCGCCGCTGCCAGCCGGTTTGCGGGCAGCAGGATCAGGCCTGGTGTTTCCCATCCCACCAGCAAACACAACTCCTGCTCCTGGCCACGGGCAGGCTTCCGTCCTTGGGCGCCCAAAACACAAGTCGGGGCTCTTGTGCCCCATCCCAGCTGCCTCCAGCCCTCCCCATGCCCCGGCTGCATCCCACTCATCTTCAGCCAAATCGCTCCTGTACCCAGGGACGAGGACGGGGAGAGGGAGCCCCAAGCTCTGGACACACGCGCCCGGGACAGCCCTCGATCCCCCGGCACACGCCGCATGGGGAGGGCCGAGCGAGGCTGATATCCCCAGGGCTAAATATAACTCCCCAACAGGAGCAAAGGAGGAATTTCCTCCCCTCCCGTGCTCCCTGCCTGACCTTCTTGGGGAATCTCAGAGCTGGAGCTGCCTTATAGGAGCAGCAACTCCACTGGCTGGCAGAGATGCTGCTCCTATAAGGCAGCTCTGGCTCTGCGTTAACACAGCCAGTGCCCTCTCCAGTAAGAGCAATATTAAAACTCCCCGCCAAATGCTTCTCGCTTCTTCGCTTCCCAAAACAGCCCAAAAACCTGTTTTCCTGGCTGGAAAATGCTCTATAGTCTTGAAAAGCCAACCTCGCCCAGCAAAGCATGGGACACAGTGATTTCCCTTCACCAGGGCAGTGCCTGCGGGCAAAGAGAAAATGCAGCCGTGCCTCCAAAGATGCGCCCCGAAGATGGGATGGGGTGTCCCAGCCCCTGGCTCGTGCTGTGACACTGGCCAGAGCAAACGGCACGCAGCCGCAGTGACGGGAGACACTTAACAGAAAGAAGGGAATGAGGGGGAAAAAAATGCATCACCTTGGCAGGGGCAACAAGCACCGAAACCAACCTCTGGGCCGCAGGAAGGTGCAGGGGGTGGGGGCCAGCAGCCCACCTTCCTCTCACGGAGTAGAGCTGAGCTTTTCACTTCACAGAAAGCAAAAATCCCCTCTCGGGGGTCTGAGCATCAGCTCAGCGGGTCACGCTGTAGCCCCGGACTTTGGAACGGTAAATCTGCGAGTTTTCTCACTTCCTCCTTCCAGGATAAACCTCTCGTCGCTGCTTCCAGCCCGGTCTGGCACCGCTACGCCGCTGGCCGCCCGCCCGCCGGGGACGCTGGCACTGGGGCCACGCCGGCTGGCACCACTCGGCCACCACGCGGCCCAGACCCTGCGCTCAGCTCCGAGCCCTCAGGCGCTGCAACAAGCCGGGGGGAGGCTACAAAAGGACGCAGGGGACACTTCGTGCCTTTCTGCCCTTCTCCCCGGACACGCGCAGAGGAAAAACCCCAGGGACCACACAGCACGACCCCCCCGCTCCTGCTGCCGAGCTCCCCCCCGGATCCAGCCTCGGGAAGTGTTCTGGAGTTTCTAGCACCCTGGGTGCAGGAGAGGGGGATTAATGGACTAAGCTGGTTG